TTCATGGATGGTTTCATGTGGATTTGAATGGGAACGTTTCCCCTCTGTAATTTTTGTAGTCTTCAACAACTACAACTTTTGAAATATATTTTCCATGGGATAAAGAAATATTTGTCGACAGGGAAATCAATCAATATACTGATCTCATAAAACCAAATGAGCTCAAAAAAAAAATAAAATTAAACCATTAAAACCTAGCTAATACTAATCCCCTACTATTAGACCAAAAACTATCCTAATCAAAAAAAGTTAAAAGATTTCAAACATGTGGGTTAATCTTTATTAAATCCTAAAATTAAAGAGAAAACCAGAAGAAACCCTAGAGACAAAAACCACCCATATGACCATATCAAACAAGGCCCTAATACAATTGTCTTTCCCCCAAGTTAGGATCGTAACAGTCAACAATTTAGTTTGAAATGTGAATCAATATTTCAAGAGTAATGACACTATGAGACCCTCCCACACCCATGTGTTAGGACCCCAAAGGATCACTATGAAATTTTGACGAAAAGTTATCACATGGGTGTGGTACTTGGGTGAATGGGTTTATTGATAACTTTTCTAGACAAAACCAGCAATAAAAGAATAATAACAAGTGCCATATATCAACACGCACCTTGCATTAGGTAAATTTCATGATTCTCTTTATCTTGAAGTTTTGAGAAGATTTAAGACAATAGATTTAAATATTGGAAGTATCTTCAACTGGTTAATTTTCCCTAAATATTAAAATTACAACTAGACTCTGCAAAATGATAACCAGAGACAACAAATTCACCAGAAAATGGTAAACTCTATCTTCTTGTAATATAGAAATACATGTACAGACTTTATTGAAATTTTGATATAATAATGTAAATGGAGAAGTGACAAAAAAAAAATGAACAAGAAATTGTTCAAGCTCCACTAGCTGCCTTGTTACAGCTCGAGAAACAAATAAACAAACGAATTTAAAACAGATGAGAAGAGAGAGGAGATTGGGGGGTTAACAGAAGAGCGAGAACAGATAAGAGAGAGAGTACAGGGAGTGAGAGAGAGGGGAGAAGACAGAGAGAGAGGTACCTGGTTGGAATTTGGCCCGAGGAGCAGGGAAGAAGACGGGGCGAGAAATGGACTTCTCGTTGGGGCCTTTTATCAAGCAAATGTTCCGACGAATGCATTCACGTTTGTTAAAGGGTAAGAGCACACTTAATCCATATAAAGGATTATATATAATGAGACAATTTACCTTATGTATATGAAGTTGACAATTACTTACCCCCATTCGATGTGAGATCAGATAGTTTGAGTGTGTTAAAACAATTTTGAATTTTAAGTTTGGTAATGAAATAAATGTAATCACCCAATTTTACATCCAATAGTCAAGATTAATTGTGACCACTTTGTTCTAAAAATAAATTATCTTATTATAAAAAAGAGACAAAATAGGAACTTGTGAAAATAGAGTTGTATACGATGAGATCCTCTACCATTACTAAGAGGAGGTAAGTAATACCTCTAGCCATTTGATTTCAAATTAGATATTTTAAATTGTCGCACAAAGTTTGAAATTTTTTAATCTAGTCAATGACACATTCGCAACTACTTCATTTGAAATCTGACGTGCAAAAGTGATTGTGAACTTTTTGTACCAAAAGTAAATGGTCTTCTAGAAAAGGGGCTAGGTCGTGGTGGCAGCATCCCTACACCCAGTTACCACATCATGGTTTCAATTCTTATCGCTAATACCCCCAATCAACACCTTCAAAATGTAACTCCCTGATCTATTAAAAAAACAGATAGGGCGTGTTTTCTTAGGAAAAGTAAATGGTTTCTTAGAAAAAAAAGCTTGGGCTTAATTGGTTAGTGCTTGACAATTTATAACATGAAGTCCCTAAGCGTAATTCTTACCAAAGGTAGAGGTCCTCTTCCCAATGACTCGCTCAAAAAAAAAAAAGTAAATGATCTCTTTAAATATTTTTTTTATAAAAAAAGTTTAAATTCTACTTCTTATACCACTCGAGTTGCATCAATAGCAAAGGCTTGGTGACTCGAGTTGCATCAATAGCAAAGGCAAGGTGAAAGGGAGAAATGAAGAAAGAGATATTTTAAATAAAAAGCTAAAATAATAGGGAAGTAAATTAGAGAGAAAAGTATGAAAAACTGCCTCTTTCGATAAGGTGTGCGTCGCTAAAAAGGCATCACTTAACAAGGACAAAATTGCGCGTAATTAGATCATGCTTACTCTAATCTCCCTCGTTCTCTCTCGCTTTTCTCATGCTCTATTTACACCTTAACAAGTCGGGGAATAATTATATACAAGTAAATCAAAATATTGGTAATAAACCGGTTTTAACTAAAAAATTCGGAAGAAAAAAATGGGTCAAAACTATGAATTGCCAAAAAATAAAGTAAGGTATAGAATCGGGAATATTTCGGATTTGGCTCAAAAAAGAGAGCGAAAAATTCGGATATATAAAGATGATATTTTATAGGATTATGATTTGCAGTTATTGTATAGATGCATTAAAACCATTGAACAATAATTTTATGGTCTTATCTACTCTCACTAGAGTAATACTTGACAATTTATTGCCTAAACTTAATCCAACAACAATGTTTATTATGTTGTCATAACACAAAACATATCTTAGCTGCATAAAGTGAAACAATAACAATATTACTAAACACAAGAACTACATTAGTAAATAACAAGAACGGTAAACCAAGGCATAAGATTATCGTTCAAAGAAAAAAACAAAAAGACCCTTAGTATAGGATTACAGTTGACTAAAATTGAAAAGAAAGACCCAAATGTATAAAATAGTGGTCCACCAAAATTGTTATGTTTATACCCCAAAGAAATAAAAAATTAATAAAAATACAAAATCAAACTTCTTTATAGATAAAGAAAACAACTAAATGCTAAAGCAAATTCACATGTCACAACAAATATCTATCTGCCTAAATCTTTAGTACCATTGAATCGCTCTCTTGCTCCTTATAAAGATGCTCTAGGCTTAAAGAAAGAAAAAAAATTCCTTGGGTTATTCTTCTTCTAATTCTACCTCTCTCTCTCTCTCTCTCTATATATATATAGTCGTGGGAAGACAAGGCACGACAGGGGATAGG